CCGTGCATGTGTATTCATCCATACTAACATGTACACACATTGCACATGTGTGCATATATGCACACAGATAATGCTTCTTTCATAAGCATTGGAAAACAAATTTTAATGCTTAGCTATTTTTTTTTTAATTTGTAAGTTTCACAGGTGATAGTGGTTTTGAAAACATGAGGGGGTCAATGAGAGAAGCCGGGAATTGGCATCATAAGTGGCAATTGGTGAAGGTGCAGCCTTAGCTGCAGTAAAAGCCCTGGGATTGAGGCATCAGGTAGAGAAGCCGAGGCTTGCAGAGAGCCCACTGGAGGTTAGTGAGAAGAGTCAATCCAGTTGCAGTGGAGACCCCAGCGTTTTGGAGATGCCAGTACCACGGGATCACCACCAAGAACAGCAGCAGCTGCGGAGTGGAGCCAGACTGATCCTATGAGACGAGGCTTGTGTGCTGTGATGGCAGAGTCTGACTAATGGATCTCACTGCACAGGTCCTTCGGAACCCAGATCATCCCGAGTGGGTCCCAGGCAATAAGTACTTAACTTTTCACACTGTTGAACTTAGCCTTGGTTCTTCCCTCGTGGAGTAAGGAAGGATTCCTTATTTTGATTTTATAGGAATCCATGGTTGATTCTGAACTTTCGCAGAGATCCTGGAGTTTTGGAAAGGCTGGGTATTTTTAGAAAGACTGGATATTTTAGAGAGGATTGAACTTTGAAAAATACTTGAATGTTTTAGAGACTGAACTTTTAAAGTATTTGGAATTTAAAGACCATGGGGCTTTTAAAATTACCCTTACAGATTTCATATTTGCAGAGAAACCCTGGAAATGTGAAGAATGTGGCAAAGCTTGCTCTTCCCTTATTGATTTTTATGAGTTCGTACCTGTGTGTGGGTATGTGTACATGAGTGCAAGTGTTCTCAGAGGCCAGAAGAGGGCATTGGATTCCCAGGAGCTGGAGTTCTGAGCATTTTGCTGGGACCCAAACTTAGTTCTTCTTCAAGAACAGTGCATGCTTTTAATAGCCAAGCCATTTCTTCAGCCCCTATGTAATAATTTCTTTATCACAACTACTTCTCAGGAACATAGCATTTTTGTAAAGTTCCATTTATTGCAAATTTTCTTGAACCATGATACTAAACATTTAATTACCACTTTATTATTTTGCCCGTGGGTTCTGAAAATATTTTGTTTCCTGTATGACTGAAACTTGTCTCCCAGATAAGATAGAGTGGCTTAGCTTTTACTACTTACAGCCCCACCTCTCTGAGTCAACCCCAGAAATCAGTGAAAGAAGAGTTCTTTTGGAAGACACAGATGGAGGGGGAGTAGCTTAGGGGTGAGATCAGGTCACTTACTGAAATCCTGTCATTGCAACCATCTTCCTTTTATTTGTCCTGGATGAGAAAGAGTCTTGGCAATGTTTTCAATTATGACAAAAAACATTTTAAATGAGCAACCACAGCACCGATATTTATTACCAACCACAAGCATCACAGGTGAATGTCATGTTGAGAAGTGTGGGAGCTCAGTGGGGCCCCTTCCTTTCTTAGTGTTTTGTTTTCCCCTCTATAATTACTATAAAAGCTTTGGACCTTGGAGGAAGGGGTGCCTGGAGTCATCTGAGGACTGACGAGATTCCTTTGATGGTAGGAATTCTGTAGTAGGTTCCTTAGCTCTGGAGAGGGTCCAAAAAGGCTTCTTTCAAAACAGAAGAATGAGTGAGCTTACACTAGTGGAAGGGTACAAAAGAGATTGCTCAAGGCTAACAGCTCAAAGCTAACAGCATCAAACCCACAAGTAAATACAAATTCCTCTACAGTGAAAATGAGAAAATATTAAAGGAGACTTAAACACAAGGAAACTGTTGCCTTATATTCATACTTATAGATCCAGTATTAAGAAGTTCAATGTCTACACATTGATCTCCCAAGATCAGTACTAAGACTCCCAACTGTTCTTTTTAGAAGATTTAAAAAAATAAATTGAGAAGCTAATTCTGAGATTTTTGTAGAAATATAATAGTTCTAAAGCATCTAAAGCAATGAAAAATGGTGAAAAAAATCTACCCAATTTTCAGATTTTTTTCTATAAAGTTTTGACAATTGAGAAAAACAAAAGGCTTAAAATGCCAAACATGGTGTATGAACCAAGGACTCAGAGGTGACTGCATGCCATAATGGCTCTGAGGCCACATCTCTCCAGAGGCTCGTCTCAGCCTTCTCAAAGTCAGTGGCAGAAAACTGACTGCAGCTGAAGATTCCAGCATTTTTGTGCCTCCCGCAAAGAAAAATAAAAAAAACCAAACAGATCAGCAAATTCAAATTATACCCATACATCCACATGCACTGCTTTTACAAAAAGGTACACTGTCAATTCAATGAGGAAAGGGTTTTAAAACGTGGTGTTGTGGGGCTGGAATATGGCTGTTGGCAAAATGTTTACTCAGTATGCACAAACCCTTGGTTTCCATACTCAGCTTCATCTTAACTGGATATGGCTGCACACACCTATAGTCCCAACATCTGGGAAGTAGAGATATGAGGATTAGAAGTTCAAGGTCTTCTCCAACCAAGGCTACATGTGATTCTATCTAAAAACAGAACAAAAGGTGCCAAAATGATATATTCCCCCAATATATTTTTATACATTAATAATGATTTGACATATCACATGGAGAATTTGAGCTGGTGTCTAACTAGAGCCTTCCCCAATCCCTAGTGACTTGTGTCCATAATACTGGATGGCACTGTGTTCATTATCAGAGGAAACACCAACCCAGATAGAAATATACAACCAAATCTACAAATTTACAATCTAACATGGTGACCTGCCTGCAAAGTGTGCTGATGCAATAGTGGCACAAATGTTACGGGACTATGGATTTAAGACCTACTACACAAAGTGGAACCTTTGCCTGACACTGCTTGGGTGGCCATGAACCTTAAACTGGATAGACCACAGGTCGAGAGGAAAACCAAATGTTATTGTTCTGCTAACAGAGCATTGTTATAAAATGATTCCTAATGACACTTTGCTATACCCACAGAGCAGTGCTTTGCTCAGCCATCACCAGAGAAGCTTCCCATTTCAGTGGATGGGATCTAACACGGGGCCCCACAGCTGGACAATGTGCAGAGACAGAGATTTTGGAACATGCACTCCTTCAGGGAAGTCATCATCAAACTCCCCATCCCAGGGTACAGGGGGCTATGGGAAGAGGAAGTGGAAAGGTTACAAAAGCCAAAGAGGTAACTTCAAGAATAGAGTGTCTTCCAGACATAGAAGGACTAACACATATATGCACTCAAAGAGACTGTAGCAGCATGCACAGGTTCAAGCCAGATGAGGCTCCCAAAACTGACAGAGGGAAGTGGCCATAGGCTCCCACACATAATGACGAAGCTGCCTGCAATTTGTTTTCTCCAGTGGAGTTTCACTAGGAGTTTTAACCACACTTAAGGATATGCCCTATGTTGCTTTGACTCATGTGTTTGGACCATAGGGATTGGCATTATTAGGAGGTACAGCCTAGTTGGAGTAGGTGTAGCCTTGATGGAGGAAGTGTCACTGTGGGGGTGGGGTGGGATTTGAGGTCTCAGAACTGGCTCAAGCTTGGCCTAGTGTGGCATTCACTTCTGCTTCCTGTGGATCAAGATGTAGAACTCTTAACATGTCTCCAGCACCATGTCTGCTTGTGTAACACCATGTTTCCTGTCATGCTGATAATGGACTAAACCTCTGAAACCGTAAGCCAGCCCTAATTAAGTGTTTTCCCATAAACAGTCGCTGCGGTCATGGCTCTTCATAGCAGTAGAAACCATTGCCCCATTCCCAGCAATAGCTGGCCCAAACAAAACAAACTCAATGGAATTTTTGTAGACATTTTGTCTCATGTTGCTTTGTTTGGGAATTTTGAAAATAATTTTTAGAGATTATAATTTGATTACAACAGTCCTCCTTTTCCTTCCAACCCTCTCTGCTCTCCTTCAATTTTATGTCCTAAGCTTTTTTGTTTTATTGGTCTCTGCTTGTATATTATAGTTTCCAATATTTTATAGTTTTGCTTCTCTCTCTCTCTCTGTTTCTTCTTTTTATTATTCTAATTTTTTTGTTTGATTGTTTGCTTTCTAAAGAGAGTGGGGAAGGGGTGGGTGGGAAGGATCTGGGAGGAGGGGAATCAGGATCAGAATATATTGTATGAAAAGGTAATAAAATAACAATAAAAATGTATGTATTATATCATATGCAAGTTATATCTCAATTTAAAAAAGGAGTAAGTTGTAGTTACAGGTACCAATATATAAAATACTTAGACTTGATGATTTCTCTCATCTTAAATTAAAACTGAAAAGCTTCCTCCCAAACTGCATTGTCTTATAAATTATTCCTGTATTTAAAGCACAGTGGAAGTCAAATAAAAGCCCTCAAACTATTCTCCTTTACATATGAAGACATCAAGATAAACAATCAACTCTGATGCTTTGGTCATAAAGTTAATTAGCAGCATAGGAGAGAGCTATCTGTTTCTGTCATTAAAGCTGCTGCAAACAGAATGTAGCAGACATGACCATTAAATGAGTTTTCAGAGACTGCACACTGCACACCCAAATATAAGGCCACACATTAGGGTATGATATACAAAACTTAACTAATTACTTTTCAGCTTTTCTTTCCTAGATCTAGAAGATCTCATTTGATAAGTGAAGCAATGTAACTTGTGTAATTTATTCTTGTTTTTCAGAAAAACCTAGGCCAGGGTATTGAAAATCACAGACCTCAGCATTTGTTAATATATGCTGAAATTAAATAATGATTATATTTACTCCTTAGTTAAAATTATTCCTAGATTTTGAATCAGCAATAATCTCATTCGATAATTTATGGGACATATATTTAAAAGGAGTATACTCCACGATACATAAATTCAGATTTAAAAAGTCACACCACGTTTACCATTCTAGATTAAAAAAAAAAAAAAAAAAAAAAAAAAGAAGCAAACAAACCACTATAGAAAAGGTACATTGTTTTTTAAAACTATAAAAACCACAACCACCTTTGAGTTTAGTTTTGATCACCATGTGTGAATATCTCAAGATTATGAAATGAAATCTTTGAGGACATAACTTGGTTTGAATAACCCACTGACACAATCAAGAAAACGTGTGAGGAAATGGTTCTGCCGATGGAAACTTGGCTAGTGAGAATGTTTTTGGCAGCTGAGGCTTCAGGGGATTCCCTCTAGGAAGCCAGTCATCCTTCCTTCTATACACAATTAAAGTTCCTCTTCCGAGATTCCCTGTAACTCTGGACAGGTTCGAGATGCTCAGCACTGCTTTCAGGAAGACAACAAGAACTCCCTGAATGCCCCAGGCTTTCACTAGAGTGAGTGCCTCATTCTATATGGGAACACCCACGATCATGTTATTTTTGGGAGAGCAGCTCTCTGGCTCCATAGATATCACTTGAACAGAGTAGCCCTGTTCTTCTGCTGCGGTTGCGCGGTCCATATCCACCAGGCACATGCACTGTTTCCCTGAAACAGAGAAATGCATCTTGAGACACCTTTACTAACTATGTCGTTTCCATGCACACACAGGGATCTTTAGTGACAACCAGGACAGTTTACTTTAAGCTTAGCTTGTGACCAGTGTGAAGATGCACTTCACAGATTTATCTTGGCTAGTAATTTTTTATAGAAGGCTAATTTTTAAAAGTGTACTGATATATATATATCTCAGATTGCAACTACACATTGTACTCGATACTTTCATCAAAATTCATTTTATAGGATTTTCATAGTGATTATAACAGTTCTGCATTCTTATAAAGTCACTTTATTAGTAATATTCTAAAAAACCTTTCTCTGAGACTATCTAAAGTAATATACCGACAAAACACTTGTCATATTTCTCCCTGTAGTTATTAAGAAGTGAGAAATGAAATGTATCTGAGAAAACCTTAACTGTGTGTTAGTTATTTCAGGCAGAAATGTAATGTGGGATATAACTGTCCTCATTTTCAGCCCTCCCTTAAGATCCTGACTTTCTGCTTCCTTGGCAATGTCTGAGAAACAAAAGAGGGAATCCGACTGGCAAGCAAGCAGCTTATTTGTTTTCCTTTGGAAGTACAAATTTAAAATTTCAAAAGTAGATTATGAAAAAAAAGACTTGAGGCCTACTATATTAAAGCCACCACTTGCTTTCCCAATCTGAACTGATCTCCATTCAGTATCTAAGATTTTCATTTTCTTGGAAGAGTTACTGACTGCAGAGTCTAGCCCCTTCCATTTTTCTTTGGCGATTATAATCTTAAACATGCTTCTACAATGTCAGAGCTTAGCTGAGTCTGCTGAAGTGACATCAGCACCGAGGACACATCACCGAAACAGAACCTCATGTGTAAAACATGGAACTCTCACAGATAAAACAAAAACAGGGAAAGAGGACATTGGCAAGGGAGGATAAACAAGACACTCAGTTTCACAAGGATGATATTATTCACTTCCTTAAAAGGACTCACACCATGAAGATCAAGTGTGTTAGAAACTGATACCAAAGAGGTATCTAGAATTCCACTTAGAACAATCACCTCCTCAGCAACAGGTAAAAGGCTGGCCTCTTTCTTCCCTTAAAATACTTTCTCCTTTAAGACCCGTGTGAATGCTCCCATCTACTTTTCAGTTAAAATGAAACATTCCAGGTCAGAACGGGATGCTCTACATTCCTTCAGGACCCACCCTGGCTTTACAAGGCAGCTCACTGACTCTTGGCTTCAATCCCAGTACAGTTAAGTTTTCCTTTTTCATCGTGTAGAAGAATCTCATATTTTCCCATGTCAAGTGTCACTATAACTGAAATTCAGTTGTTGGCAACCTATCTTTTGGGGGTTGGTAAATTTTCTTAAAATGTTCATTAAGCACGGAAGTGGCAAGATCTGTGACAGACTCTGGCTTTGTCTGAAACCCTGCCCTGCTCCTTCCCTTCAGCAATCTTGCCAGATGTGCTTCTGCCCCAACCTCCCGGGCAATTTCCCTTCGGGTCATTGCTCTTACCGGACACTTAACACTCACATTGACCATGATCACATGTATCCACTGCACCAACAGTGACTATTGACCTCTATGGTTGGAATATGTTCCCCGAAAGGCACACACTGGGAACGTAATCCCCAGTGCAACTGTGCTAGGATGTGAGCCCCAAGGAGCCAGAGTTAGGCCATTAGTATGAGGTGGATGTAGGGGTGGGCCCACTATTGTGAGTGTTCCAAAGAGACAAGTTCGGCTTCAGCCATCTCATGAAAGAGTTCCCTTCCATTGCTCCCTCTTGTGCTCTCTCACTCACTGCTGATTTACCTTCCTCCATTGGCATTTGATACCTTCTATGTCTACATTGTTATGGATCTGCAAGAACACACCCATCAGATTAACCCCCTGATCTCCAGAACTGTGGACCAAGTCAGTTTCCATTGGCTGTAAAAACTAAGCCTATACAGACCAAGACACACATCTGGTGTATAACAAGCGTACATTACACTGACTTAAAAAATCAGAAATGGGAAATCAAAAGGAAGACTAGGAAAAGAGGAAAGGAAATGGAAGGCTTTAAGCAAGGGACGGCAGCTCTCCCAGTGCCTTTCCTAGTGAGTGCACCTCACTATGCCGACTTCAGAATTCAAAGGTGATTATTTATCATATAACGTCTTCTTTAATATAAACTACTTCAGTTGGGCTCAAAGAAATGACAGTCTACTCAAGTGCACATGGAATTTTAGAGCACACGACAGTGTCCAATGTGGGATTTCTAAGAAAAAACAATTCTCTTAATCCCTGCTTCATATCCAAAACTTGTGGTGCTATGGAGGAAGCCAAGAAGCTGTATTGCAGAAATGAACGAGAGATCTGTGTCTAGAACCAGATAATCTGAGGTCATAGTGTGGCTCTAGATCTATGAGGAGTCTCAGGCGAACTTTGGCTGAGTTCTTCCTGGGAAGAACCTGCTTTCTTAATGATAAATGGACCAGTGTTTCCCCCCCGCAGACCCTATCCACTCATTCCCAGGCACATGGGGCATACTCTCCTCAACAGCTGTTCGATGAAAACACATACCTATGAGTCTTCTCTGGGGTGGAAGCTGCACAGCTGTCTGATCTGCAAATCTGCAGAGAATCATGTGTTCCTAAAAGGAGCATGAAAAGAATGTAGGTTTATTCCAACTTAGTGCTTCAGACAGAGGAAACAAAGACATGTCCTCAGCTTTTCTGGGTTCAGTAGCAAGTAATTTAATAAAAAACTACTGCACAAAATTGAACAGCTGAAAAGAGCAATCCTGAATCCTCTGCTCAGTAACTAACTGCTTCCCTTCAAGTTGACTGTTCTTCAGATGCAGATCTTCAGGACAGACTCGGAGAAAAACCTCAACGTCATTTTATCGAGTTGTTCTTATCCTCTCATCAGGACAAGGCAATTACAATTTACAATTATACTGTGTTAACTGAAAAGATGGTCTTTCTTAATTTTCCTTTCTAAGGTTATCTGAATCTCTTGCATGGGACTTTAAGAAGATGCATGTTGTGGCTTCTCATCCTACCTGAGGAGAAAGAGGCCTGGGCTCTTTAGACACCTAGAGCAGCTGTAGGTCTGGAGTGGGAACAAGGCCCCACATGCAGGTTCAGTGAACAGGGTGAACTCAGACTCGCCATCTGATTCATGGTACTCCGCACATTAAATTTAAGCTTTACTTATTTATTTTAATGTTATGCAATCTTCCTAGTAGGCTGGCCTCAAACCTGTGGTCCTCTTGCCTCTGAGTGTGAAGCCTCTATTTTTCCATCAGGTAAGTGAAATGTTTGTGGTGATTTTTTTAAATAATAAGGGCATTTTTGTTGTCAACCCTTGTATATTAAAACATGTTTTAATAGTCATTATAAGATTTAATGGCAATGGATAGGAAATTAATAAAGTGGTTTGAATAAATACATTTCTAAAGCCTCCACAAATTGGCTGGTATTATAAAGGAACAGAAGCATTTAGAATTATTGGATTTGAAGAAGCAAGAACAAGTACTCCCTGTGTCCGCATGAGTTTCTAAACAGACCCACTGCTTATGAGTAAAGGGAATATTGAGGCAATCAGAGCCTCAGTGGGGTCCAGTGCTCTGCGCCTGAGTTTTACCATCCCTCTCCAGAATCATTTCTGTTGTTCTCTTTAGGAAAAGGGCAGATGTTCTCAGTACCCACTGGCCAACTTAACTATGGAGAAAGAACACCCAGTTCTCAAAATATCTGGACACTGAGAAATGAAGCTCTAGGATAATAACGGGGTAGCATTTTGCCATGGTATCCAAGAAGTGATGACATTTCTAGGACTTCACACCCAAAATCTAAGCAGGACTGGTGGCCTAGCAGCTCTTGGGAATGCTGGGGTGACAGTAGACAAACACTATGAACTGGGGTGAAGGGGTTGGGGGGTTCTTCTGCTCTCTGGAGTCAGGATGACTCCTTTCTTCACTACTGTAAATTCTTTTCCAGCCACTAAGACTAAGGGCACCCTCCCCTCGCCAGCCCAGCCCCCCCCCACATGCTTCTCACTTTTGTTTTTCACAATTGATTTTCAACAATACAGGTAGAAGCTTGTGAGTGAAGGATGTGTGTGTGTGTGTGTGTGTGTGTGTGTGTGTGTGTGTGTGGAGGGGGGGGTCCTAATGTTTTTCCTTTTAAATCTAGAAATTCCCTAGGATATGAACCCTTCTAGCCTGGCCAGAGAAGGCAGCAATGTGCTGATTCTGGAGGAAAGCATGAGAGAGAACCATCTCTGAAGTACTGTGACTGTTTGCAGGGGAGTGGGGAGGGGAGGGCTGTGCAGGGGAGTGGGGAGGGGAGGGCTGTGCAGGGGAGTGGGGAGGGGAGGGCTGTGCAGGGGAGTGGGGAGGGGAGGGCTGTGCAGGGGAGTGGGGAGGGGAGGGCTGTGCAGGGGAGTGGGGGGAGGGGGGGCTGTGCAGGGGAGTGGGGAGGGGAGGGCTGTGCAGGGGAGTGGGGAGGGGAGGGCTGTGCAGGGGAGTGGGGAGCAGAGGCTGCGGGAGTGGGGAGGGAGGGCTTAGGAATCAGTAGGTGGGAAACAGAGCAGGAAGTGGGTATTTAGGAATCATAAAGCTATGTTCAAAGAAGTGAAGCTGTTGGAGTCATAGAAATGAAAGTTTAAAGAGACTATACTTCATTCTTAGAGGGAGGAAGGAAAAGTACCAAACTGTAGGGCTGTCCACAAAATGAAACTAAGGTCCAGTGGGTCAGGTCTATGTAAAAAGTGGAATTAACTAAATTTAAACTCAGCTATCAAGCTCTAACTAAATTACATTTACATTTAGCTCAAATACTACTTCTTAGATTATGTATGTCATGTTATTGAACAGTTGCTAATGGTGATATCAGAAAGTGGAAACTGCTCTGCTTAGGTTAATGATTCAAAACTATCTCGGCTTTTCAGAGACAGTTCTCCAAATGTTCCTTTAATTTCTGTAAGCAAGAACTGAGTGCCCCTTTTCAAGGCCAGGGGAAGACACACTCAGACACAAACAATCTAAGTTTTACTTGTGGGTAGCTCACTATCAAATAACTCTTTTATATCCTCAAAGGTTTATAACTTAAGAACAATAAAAAATATATATGTATATCTGGCAAGGGCAATGGAGAATTTGGGAAATTTGGATGTGGCCAGCAGAGCCCAAAATATCTGACTTTTTATAGAACAATTTCCCTGTATTCTGATTAACTTTCCAAGCCTGTCATTAGAGTGAACAGCCTGGAAAACAGTTTCCCTCTGCAGGTGTGAGCAGGTCCATTTCCTGGGAAGATGGCCGCGGGGAGTCAGCATGAAGATGATGGGACCCTGGCTACTGTCACATGCAACCCTGGACGGGTCTCTTAACTATGGCAGCATTTATCACTCCAGCTAACACGTTAATGTGTACGTAAGAAGGAAAAAAAACAAAACAAAACAAAAAAAAAAAAAAAAAAAAAAAAAACAGGCCTTTCCCAGATCTCATTCACTATTCAAAGAAAGAATTAATCTGGAATTGAAGTTTTTTTTTTTTTTTTTTTTCAGTTTTTCAAGACAGAGTTTCTCTGTGTCTTTCGAGGCTATCCTGGAATTAGCTCTTGTAGACAGGCTGGTCTTGAACTCACAGAGATCCACCTGCATCTGCCTCCTGTGTGCTGGGATTAAAGGCGTGTGCTATCACCGCCAGGCTGGATTTGAAATTTTTAAAAGGCCATACTGGATATTTTTTGAGTAACTCAATATATCTGTAGATTATAGAAGACAAAAATTGGGATGGAAAAACATGAATGATGAAAAGTTGTACAGAGAGAAGTCAGTGGTTCATGAATATAATCCTAGCACTCAGGAGACTGAGGCAACCATGAATTTGAGGCCAGCTTGGTCAAATAATGAGTTCCAGGATAGAGGCGAGAGCCTATCTCAAATAAAACAAAAGCCTAAACACAAAAACAAAGAATATTCAGAAACATCTAGATCTTTTTAGTAAGGTTACCTTGTATGACAATGTTCTTTTGAATTTTTCACTAGAATAGAAAACAAAGAAGAATTAGTTACCATGTTAAAGAAGGCCAGATAACCTGAATTATAAATGGAAATACACACTGTAACTGCAGAGTATACAACATTACCCTGCATCAGTTTGACATGTGCTCACTCATGGGAAGTTCACAGCAGAGTAGCAGGGTGTCCTGAGTTTAGGAGAGCTTACTTCACAAACAGTTAATACTGTTAAGAAAACATGAGCACTTCTGGTCTTTCTCACGGCACACACACATTCTGGTGCTGTACCGCATGGTTTTATTATGAATCTGGTGTGGCAAGGCCAATGGATCAGGAGGCAACCACCTCTGAAGACACACTTCCTTCCTCCCTACAGCCCAGGAAGGGGTAGCATGCCATGCAGGGTGTTGTGGGGAAGTGCCATGTCATTTATGAGGCAGAGGGAGTGCAGTGACATATGGGCCTTTAATGTTCGTTCCTTTTGTGGGAAGGAACAGGAAAGATGGTGAACGGACACAAGACTAACATTAATGGGCTCTGGAATAGAGAGCTGTCCCTAACTGCCTGGTACTGAGCTGGCATATTAGGGCATCGTGAAAACTGTCTGGAAGAATAAAGCTGGATGTAGACAGGACTCTCTCTGGGTTGTTTTATATATGGAAGTTGTAGACAAGCTGTTTATTTAGATGTCAAACATTAGCACAAAATTAACCAGAAACCAAAGTTGTCATAAATATTAAAGGTAACGTGTATTCAGCACAGTCCATTATAGTGCTGTAGCCCTCACTCTGTTAACTCATTAAGAATAGGCCTATTTATATATTAACTGTATTAGTATTAAATTAGTATTAAAATAATTTGTGGTTTTGCATAATTTAGGAAGAATAGACTATGAATTCACAGCTCTACCTTTGATGAATTAGCTAGTTCTCATAAACAAAGAAATAAATGTTAAATAGTTCCAAGGACACAGAGCAAAGTGACAGTAAGTCCACAAGGCCATAAAAAGGGTGACATGAAATTGAGATTTTTAAATCAGTGTAACTAGGATATAAATCTGACCAGGTCAAATTAATATTCTTACACAATATTATTATACAACTCTTAGACTTACATATGTCTTGATGCACTGTAAAAATTAAACATTTTTTCACATTTTAACTGTTCAATAGGCCTCAAATTATACATATATAAGTAACTTATAGACATAAATATCCTCTGTCCGTCTATCTTTCAACGCTTCCTTTGGTTTCCTCTCAATGAAAGAAAAAAGAAAAGATTGGTTTCATATTGTTATTTATATTAAAGACAAAGTGAATTCTAATGAAAAATTTCCAAGGTTTTTATAAAAGTAACGTGACTGACTTTGTGTCCTATGGGGTTTTGTTTGTTTGTTTGTTTTGACACAGAACAGAAGTTCCAACACTGATGTATTGAGCTTCTGATTTTCAATGACTATGAACCAGAGAGTGAGATGTCACACAAGAGTTGTCCTCCAATAAAAATGTTGAGAATTAAAATGTCTTCCTCTTCTATGGCTGTCAAATCTAATCAATACCCGCAGACACTATTTATTATTATTTTAAAATAAAAGCCTACAGTTTTGTTTACTCTTTGCGTGTGTGCGTGTGTGCGTGTGCGTGTGTGTGTGTGTGTGTGTGCATGTGAAAGCTATGGCATGTGTGTGGAGGTCAGAGGGCCCGGGGATCAAGCTCAAGTGTCTGATTTGGTTGGCAGATGCTTTCATGTGCAGAGTCATCCTGGAGGCGCTATGGATGCCAAGTAACTAACTACTAGCAACAATGCACATGTATGGAGGACTTACTCTGTGCTCTCTTATTCTTTCCGTTGTTTGATTATGGACAGTCTTACTCTGTGCCTAGGCTGGTTTTGAACCTGAGGCAATCCTACGTCAGCTGCCAGTGTCAGGATTATAGGCATGCATGTGGCCTCTTTGCTGCTTCTAAGTAATACATATACCATTATTAAAAGCTCACTGAAGCCCTTGTGGTAGATCCTATGACAACCTCATTTTGTATATAAGAACATATAGGAAAATAGTAAAGTAACTTGTCGAGGTGAAAGAAGTTATAGATAAGCAGCTGGTGTTTCTACATGCCTAGCACTTGGTCATCACACTTCACTGTCTCTTAGAAAGGGTGGCTCTGATTTCATTTAGAAGAACACAGGGAGGTGTGGAAGCCAGCAGACTTCTATTGGTCTGGCTCCTAAACTGACTTGCTTATAACTCGACCTGGAAGAGGTAAATAGTCTCAAATTCAAACCTCACTGCAACCTTATTTATTTATTTATTATTTACTTTTTTATTTTTATTTTTTTTGAAACAGGGTTTATCTGTGTAGCCCTGGCTATCCTGGAACTCGCTTTATAGACCAGGCTGGTCTTGAACTCACAGAGATCTGCCTGCCTCTACCTCCTGCATGCTGATATCAAAGGCATGCGCCATCACTGCCCGGCTCTCACTGCATCTTTATTACACAAGTCTTGTGTAGCAACTCACTCTCACACTAAGTAAACTTCACCTTTTTGGGAAGCTGAACTTGGACGTGTTCTGAATGAAGCCGTAGCAGCAAGGGCACGTGATGAAAGAAGCCCGTATTTGGATGCAGTGCTGGATCACCATGTCTGTTGCCACTCCACAAGCATGCAGCGCGACCTGGAGAACGGAAGCAGCCCTTAGCATTCGGCGGCATCTTTACTGAATTCCGAGTACTGAATACTCAGGACAAACAGCTGACACACGAAGTAAGAAATAAGCAAGACGAGCCAGAACATCTTACAGTAGAAAGCAACAAACACCTGAATACTGAAGGATTCTCAAGAGGATCCACCAGCGACCCAAAGGTACTACTGGGAGAGATGCAGGTATCTGAACATTCGTGAAAACAAACAAACAAACAAAAACAAAAATGAAAAAAAACCAAACAAAGGATGAAATATTCCAAATACCAAATTTATGAGCCAATAATACTTCAAAATCCCAAGTGGAAAAAAAAAAAAAAAAAGAAAAGACCTAGTTGATGGGAAAGATTATCTATCTATATATCTATCTTTATTTTTTTCTTTTTTCCTATGTGCACCATATCTCTGGGTAACCATTTGTTGACACTGGAATGTAAATACAGACAGAATGAGAAACTAGATTAATGCCATTCTGAAGCTTTTAATTATATAAGGTAGGGAATGTCCATTACAGATGCTGTTAATGTACAGACAACCAGACATACTACTAGCACCTATGACACAGTCTAACCCAAAATTGAGGAAGAAACTAATTATGCCTCTGCAGTCTAGATTTTTAAAATTTGTTGTTATTTTATGTGCATCGGCGTTTTGCCTGCATGTATATCTGTGTGAGGGCATCAGATCCTGGAGTTACAGAGAGTTGTGAGCTGCCATGTGGGTGCTGGGATTTGAACCTGGGTCTTCGGTAAGACCAGTCAGTGCTCTTAACTGCTGAGCCATCTCTCCAGGCCCTGCAGTCTAGTTCTTAATTGTTAAAATTTAGATAATATAGCGGCCAGGGTAATAAGCATCCTTTAAATGTGTAGTAATCAATACTTATTCAAAGCAGGGGTCATGCAGCTATATACACTAAAATGATGAAAAATTCTAAAACCCTTTTTGATGCTTCTTATTTTGGAAAAAGAATATTTTCCTTATGATGTATATTAGTCATTAAAATCAAAACCAGTATTAATAAAATGGTATTCTTATAATAATGAAGTACGTGTTTCAAAGGGAAAATACATTTATTTATTTATTTATTTATTTATTTATTTATTTATTGACTTTATGGTGTTGTGACAGTAATAGATATCCTATGAGCATCGTGTCTGAAACTTGATCCTGGGCTAACTAACAGTCACCATGATGAGCCTCTCTGTGGTGCTAGAGAGCAGCATGGCTAGGGTCTTAGTCAGCCATGTGATCACAAGGGCATGAGCAGCTCCTCACAGCGCTTGGTGTAGCTAACCTATGATATTCAGTAGACTAGTGTACTAGTAGAAAGCATATGCCTTTTCTGCTTATGACAGTCTTTATTATTGGCTTATCAGGATGTAAGTCCATATAAGTCAAGGAGCATGTATCCATGTCACATGAAAAGAAATACTCATATTTACAATTTTAACATGTATTTCACATGTTTATTTCTATATAGATTGCTTAGATGTTTGTAAATATGAAAATACTATATTACAGATAGTCTATTAAAACAGTGAAAATAATAAACAAAAAATCATTTTACAGCACACAGAGGCAGCCAAAGTAATTATGGAAAGGAAAAAATCCAAGACAGGTATATAATAGTAAAATATAGAGGGAAAAAAATTACTGTCCAAAAGGACACACTTCAGTTGATGAAGTTAGATTATCAGAGTGACTTCACACCTATAGCCACAAACAGAAAGAACCAGGACCAGTGAGGTGAAAATGTCAAGATTGGGTGGGCACAGGGTAGCAATCTCCTGCTATTTCAGACATCTACAAAGGACATACATTGATTGCCCTTTAGTTGAAAAAAAGCAAAGCAAATCTTCACCATTTTCAGTAGTCAATGTTTAAGACATGAATTTTAGTACACAGAAGTAACAGTGGCAACAGAATCTCTGAGTTCTAGATGTGGGTAACAGTTCTATTCTATCCAGTAAGGTGAGGGGATGGGGTGGTAACACAGGAATACATCACTGGGAAAAATATTAAGAGCTATTATTGTTAACACTTACATTATGAAAGTAAGAAGAATATGCTTAATAACTAGGGAAAATTTACGACAATGTTCAGGTATAGGATCTAGGTTGTAATGGCTCCCTAAGGTTCATACATAAATTAGCACTTGTATGTGTGCAGAAATATGGAAAGACCAAAAGGTGTAATACTTGATCAAGTGTACAAGAGATGGCCTTTTCATTTTATAAGGTATTTATCTATGGTGAGGATATATTAATATTAAATAAGACTTTTTAAATGAATAGGAGTATTGACAAGATACTAGACCTTATTACTAAAGCACAAATTCCACAAGAATAAAGCAGTTATGAGCTCTGGTCTCTTAATTATTCTTAATATTAAATAATAACTTGGCCCAATGATTCAAAAATATAACCATAATGTTTATAAGATCAAAAAACCATGTGGATATCAAATATGTCTTCACTTTGATTTGTTTTACAAAGGATGAACAGATGTTATCTGTTTCACAGTGAGAAAGGGCTGTGAGTGGAGTAATGTTATGCTATACCCAATAGGTAGCGTATAGAAAGCTATACTTGTCTTTGTTTAGGAAAGAATACAAAATTGTTTTCTTTAGTTAACCAAAAGAATAAAGTCATTATTTAGTCAATTAGAGAAACCAAAATTATGGACTACTTACCCCAATGTTAAACATTCCTGTAAAATACTCCATATTTGCTTGAATGAACCAAATATTGCTTAAACCTAGTTCATCACTTCTCTTCTTGGCACGGATTAATGATAATTCCTTATTTTCTATTAATGTAACCTAGATTTTATGCAGGAAAAAAAAATCAAGTATCAGGATAAAAATCAGTATAACACGATTCAGATTTTAGCAGCACTGATATCTTCTTCTTGTTTGGGTTTTTGAAACAGAGTTTCTCTGTATGACAGCCCTAGCTGTCCTGGAACTCACAGAGATCCACCTGCCTCTGTCTCCCGAGTTCTAGGATTAAAGGCATGTGCCACCACCCACTTATGTTTCATATCTTAATAATAATGCATGATGTATTTATTAAACCTCTATCCTGTATGATAGTTCACCTGGTACGAAAATGAACAATGTCTTTAACGCTTGAAGTTTAGCATGTGATGATTTGTGAAAGGAAGAGAAATAACAGGAAATAACAGTGTGCTATGTAGTGTAACATAATCAGACTTGATGACTAAGGCCAGTTTTCACGGAGAAACAACGCATTACTGAACAGAAACTAGCTCCGGGAACCCGGCCTCGGGAACACCGTGGTCTATCCCTATATTAAACAGAAACTAGCTCCGGGAACCCGGCCTCGGGAACACCGTGGTCTATCCCTATGTGAACAGAAACTAGCTCCGGGAACCCGGCCTCGGGAACACCGTGGTCTATCCCTATGTGAAGAGCTGAGAAAACTGGCAGGCACAGTGTGCGGCAACAGCGAGGGGGACAGAGGGGTGGGGTGTGAAGGATGGAGATGGGGTGGGAGAAATAACGGGAGACCAGGTTATGGTAAAACAAGGTTCCAAAAGCTTGGATTGCTGGGGTGAGGCTGACGGCAGGAGGAGCCTCCAACAGAATTCACAGGTAAAATTAAGACATTGCTATTATTTATTTTTTCTTATGAACATGCTATAGAAAAATACTTTATCACTTTACATAAAACACTTGATGTAAGGCTGATATTAGAAGCCCTCTGGTTTTATCTAGCTGAAGCCCCTTCCAGGAGAATCATTAGAAAGGGGAAAAGATGCCCTGCCCCCAGCCTGCTTCTCAAGTCAGTCATAAAACTGTGTCCTCAGCTCCACAATAGGGCCCTCCTCCTCAGACTGTTCTCAATCTTCGAGTGCCGTGACCCTTTAATACAGTTCCTCGTGCTGTGCTGACCCCACCATAACATTTTTGTTGCTACTTCCTAGCGGTCGTTTTGCTAGTGTTATGAACTGTAACATAAATGCTTTTGGGGACAGTGGATGACCCCAGCCATTTTTCCATCTGACTGTCTGTCAGCTCTGGGTTTTCTTCTCACAGTAGTCACAGTGACTGGAGAGTTCACGCTCTGCCCCAGTTGACTATATATTTTCAAATTAAAAACACAATCCCTGGAAACATTTCTAGCTGTGCGTGTGGTGAAAACTAAGTTAGCTCTATGGTCTTACTTTCCTTTTGCCCCCATTAAGACTCTGATCTTGGGAGTTCACTTCCAGGGAAAGTATGTGGCTCATTCTTGACTTGATGAGTAAATAATTTGCAAAGCAAAGAGTTACGATTAGGCCAGACATGACCCCTAAATTGTGCCTAGCCAAACTGTCCCACGTGGCCTGGGACCCTCCTTACCTGGCAAGAAGGCAGCATGTGCGCAAGCACGATTCCAACATGGCCCTGAAAGTCAGACAAAAAAGTTCATTGTGGCTCCACTGCCTTTCATTCATTGCTAGACAACGATCTTGGAAAAGCTAAAGGACAAGAGGAGACATAAAATACCCCGCCACTGCAGAAATCCACAATTCTGTCACCAGGTTTGGCTTGATTTAGCACCACATAAACAAGGTTGTTTAACTGCTGCTGCTTCCGCAAAGCTCGGTCAGTGGACATTTTGCCTGGGGAAGATAAGAAATGAAGAAAACACTTAGCGTTATGAGGGACCAATTAGACATAATGGACAGGATGGATGTTAGGATTGAGGAGAAGAGTGTCATGTGTCCACATGTCCACATGTATACACACACACATCAAAGAATGTACTACAAATTTCATGCAATTACTGTGAACTAGGAAAGCCAAACCCAGAGACTAGCTCCAATTTTGAGTATATTATCTTAATGAATATGCACTTGAATGCTTGAACCTGGTTGGTGGAGCTGTTTGGAGAGGTTATGGAAATTTGAGGGTGGGGTGCTTGCTGAAGGAAGTACATCATTGGGAGGTGGGGGACATTTTAGGGTTTACAGCTTTACCCCACTTCCAATTATCTCTTGGCTTCCTTTATGCTAATGGAAATGTGACCAGTCTGTTTCCTGTTCCTGCTGCATGTTTTCCCAATCATCATGGACTGTCCCTCTGGAGCCAAAAGCAAAAATAAGCTGTTTCTTCTGAAACTTGTTCTTAGTCCTAGAATTTTATAATTGCGACAGAAAAGAAACTAACACACCATGCAACTTTTCTTTCAATGACGGCAGTTTGTTCTGAATAAAATAATATCTGAAAAATTAAATTCAGGACCATAAAGGGTTTAATCAATTTGAATACATGAAGAAAAAAAAAAATAATTGAGTCCTCCATTGTTTCCACAGATACACTGCAAAATCACCAACTACAACACTGCTTAAATCTCCTCACAGAGTTATAGTAAGAACATTTTAGTTATTTTTGCATATCCTTAAACTCTCTCTCTCTCTCTCTCTCTGTCTTTTGGTGGGACCCTGAGAAACCAGGGAACACAGGTGTCACACAGTCAGAACTGTATCAGTGGTTACTGTATTCAGAGGAAAATGGGTTTTCCTTTTCCCACATCAAAGCTTCCTTTCCCCATGACTCAGACATTAATGCAATTAGGGACTAAAGATGGACATTTCCAAGTATGAAATGCTCTGGGGCCAGCAGCATAAGATCATTGTAACTTCCCTTCAAAAGCCCACTTGTGGCATCCTCAAACATCCTCAGAAACATGAATGGCTTCATTGTTTGTCTTATGTATAAAACACATTCCTTCAGTTTGGTTAAAAAAAAAAAATGTAAAAATTTCAAGACTTTCTTGCTCCAGTTTAAGAGAAATTTTTTTTCTCTTTTCTTCCTTTTCCCATTTTTCTTCTTTCTTGTGTTACTAAATTAAATTTATAAATTAGGAAAATTTTATTGGGAAAAAAGAAAATCATAATACCTACTTTAAAAGTAACACTGACATGCATATACCATATCTCTAACCCTTAACAACTTTCTAATCATATACAAAATATCATGCCACAAACATCTTTTTATGTCACTGCATTTGTCTCTGGGCATATACTGTAATGACACAGTATTACACTGATTATGTATACACCATGGCTTCAATAACCTGTGTTCTATTGTTCAATTCAATATTCAATAATACAACTGTTATCACATGGTTGAATTTTTATACATTCTCAATTATTTACCATGCCCAACCTGAGTTTCAGAAATTAAGAGTTTGAAAATCAATCTAGCAGTCTCATTTGTGAAGATATATGAATGTGTTTTTTTATTCTAAATGAGTATTCATTTCCCTCTAATAATGTAATATAAACATTTACACACAGAATAAATGAATCTGTGTATCATGAAAACCACCTGAGCTTTCATCATGACAATTTTCAAACACACAGCACAACCGGAACAATTTATCAGTGGACACTTCTGCATTAGTTTCCATTATTGCAACAAAATACCTAAGGCAGCTTACTTATGAAAAAAAAAAAAAAAAGAGGGGTTCAAAGTCCAACTATGGCAATACTAGTTGTTTTGGGGCCCGCAGCACATGGGAGAAGAAAAACAATTACATGAGGCAGGGTGCACCAGACATTAGGGTTGGGTTGGTGTCTACAACCACAAAACTGATTCATTAATTGATGAGTTTACTGTGTGTGTCTGTATGCTAATGCTATGGAACGTGTGGTGAGGTCAGAAGACAACTACCGGGAGGCAGTTAACTCACTTCATTCAGCATGTGTGTCCTAGGGATAGAACTTAGGTCATCAGGCTTGGCAGCAAGCAACTTTCCTCACTGAACCACCTTGAGGGCACAGGCTCAAAGAAGAAAAACAATAGTTTTTCTTCTTTAGACTTTACCAGAAGACTAATACATCCTCCTTCTTGGAACAATAGCCTCAATGACCTATGACCTCCCACTAGCAGTACCTGCTATGAACAACATCAAAACTATGGCAGACTCTACAAACTTCTGCATAGTTTCTACTATTAACAACTCTTTGTATGTGATGCATCACATTACTATCTCTCCTTCTAACCATCCTAAATTTGTCTTATACTTTTTTACAGCAATGAAGGTTTAATTGGAATAAGTCACTAAGAATATGGAAGATGATGGTAGGGAAGATGGCTAGGTGGGTTAAGGTGCTTGCATCCAAGCCTGATAATCTGAGTTTATCTGGGGACCCACATGGTAGAAGGAGGCAACTAACTCCTCCCTACATGCTGTCCTCTGATCTCTCCATGTGCACTCAATGAGCCATACATGCATGCACACACGGGAGAGGAGCGGCAAAGTCAGAAAAGAAAACGCAATACATGTACATGTGAGCGATAGAGGCCCACATGCTGCTGCTAAGTGGCCACAAGAGGAAAATAAAGAGCACACACATTTAAGATTTTTTTCTTGTCTGTGCAGTTTTATAAGACAAAGTAAAAAGGAGTTTTGTTTTGTTTATTTTTTTTTTTTGTAGAAAAGAAAAAATATTAAATGGAATGCCAAGCTACAGTCCTATAAAGTGCGTCTATCAAAAGCTCAAAACTGCCTAACTCCCTTATGTGTGTCTCAAAAGCAAGCTCTGATAAAGACTTGCCTTCCTATGACCCTTTACAAGTAAATGCATCTATGCCAAAATGAAGGATGAAGACAGAGAGCTTTTGAGATTTGTGTTTAATTGGAGAAACTACAAGGTTCACACAGTATTCACAAAGGTTGAGCTAAAAATACCGCAGCCAGATGCCTAGAAACTTTAAAAACTGATCCAATAGAACATTCTCTCTTCCCATTCCAGATTTATGAATATTATGAAGCTCCAGGAAACATAAACAGAATCTCAAGTGTACCCAACAAGGTAAAAGGCAGTGTTTTAGATCATGTGTTCATTTAGAAATCAAGCCCTACTTTGTATTTTTATTCAGGGTCCTTGTATCAGAATTTTAAATATAAAATTGCAATCTACTTTTAGCTTCAGTACAGATGATGGTCCTGTTAGTGCAGTGGAAAAAGAAACCCAAGCAGAGAACATTTGAACACATATGATGTCATGGTTCTTCTGCAGTGGGATCTTTGTCTAACTCACATTAGGATACATCTGTTCTCTAGACCATGTGATTGCATACCCTGTTACAATATTTGACAATTATTACCACAAAACACAGGAGAAGTGCATGGAAATTTATAAGGTCAAAAGAGGCCACTTTATACTTTCTAGATGAGTAATACCTCCATAAAGATTGCTCAAGACACAGGTCAGGCAACAAGTGTAGCCTCCACAAAACTGGGGATACAAGCATGTTTAATGCATGGTTTCTACTTTACTGAATTTATACATTGTTTACTGACTACAGGATATTCCAGGAGAGCTTATGAAATGCATTTTGTTAACCATGTTGTAAAATGTATATTTAAATGAGATATAATGAAAACAAACATGTATCTAAGCTTCTAACACGATTGATAATACTTCTGCAACCTAGGGAGCACTGCCACATTTAACAAATCATCGCCTCAAATCTCTCTTGGGTTGTTGGTACGGATGACATTTTTATTTTACAAATGAGGACAATGCACAGTCTACAGGACAATTAGCACTTCCCACAATGTGGGAAGAGGGACTCAATGGAGATTTCTAATATCAATTGCAATCTTATTTTCAACACAACATGTTACTTCTTAAAGGGATGACACATTGATAGATATCAGTGCCATCATTACCTTTCCTTATATGGGGAAGCTTAAGAAAATGAGGTATGTTTCTTAGAGAAAGAAGATAACGTTTCTAGGGATTACTTATTAGGGAGAGATTTAATTCTTCAGAATTGGCCATAATATGTACTTTATTTCAGTTTCCCTTCTAAATAAAAATTCATCCAACAGGCTTAGCAGTGTAAAGGCCCACTTTATGTTGTAAAAGTCAGTTTTGGAATAAGGCATTAGAGGTCTCATAAATCACTCCCTTTAATAAATTGACCTTTCCAAAAGGAGCTGTTTCTTCACCTTGGGACTTTAGCAACCTTTTGGACTCTATAGAAAATGATACAGGAGGTTGAGCAATCAATTTTTGGCAAAATCGGATTATTTTGGAAGAAAGAAATGAAAACAGATCAAGATCTTTAATGGTCCAGTACTGCAGATGCAGACTAAAAACAGCAGGCAGCCCTCACCTTCCGGACCCAACTCTATGCTGCTTTTTAAAAAGCTGATGGTTAAGAATGTTTAGACATATTGAGAGGGATGGAGAAAAAACAGAGAACAGTTACATGATATGCCAAGTCAAAGTTTCACTTTGTTTATAGAAGAGCTTAAATCAACTAATGGATAGAACATTTTATATACCCAGAGTTATCTGAACACATACATTTTCATCAAATGTACTTATAGCATACAAAATAAATATCACTTACCTGTGGACTTTTTACTTTTTTAAAGACCACAGTATTTTCTAAGTTGTTCACAAGACCAAAGCTTTTAGAACTAAAGAGATAACTTTGGAAAACAGTTTCTCATTTTTCATTTTAGAAACTCAAGTTAACAACAGGGAGGCAATTTAATTAACCATTTGAAGCCAAGAAAATAATTCTGTCTTAGCTTCTACCTTGTAATCAGATGTAATTAGATTAAATTGTATTGTGGTCACTCCAAATAGGGAAT